CACACTGATCCTGGAGCTGCAGGGGAAATTTTTAGGAACTCCATATCACTTCTAAAAATCTCATGAGATTAATATCTTTGTTCTTACCAATTGAGCGGTCATTCTCCACGATTTCAAACTACCGCAATTTAATTGCATTGCATAACAAATACTATTAGTCTCTATCAGAAGCCTGTGTGATGGTGACCACACTGGAGCACAATTGAGAAATGGGAATACAGTGTTGTCACCCTATAACAGGAAGTGCCCGCACAAGGACGTCCATGGCAGCATCACCAGGGATTATTATAATGAAAGCTGCAGCTTTAAAGAGATTATATATGATGGAGATATGAGATTTCAGGGATTTGTCACTTCCAGATTTCACCACAAGGTGGCGCCATTGTCACGCTCCACTTCTAATCTTTTCCAACCATTAGGAATAGGACAGCTGATCAACAGGCGGCAGCAATTGGAGATATTGAAACTAAAACTTAGGTGTATGCAGATAAGAGAACACGTACTTTTATGGAACCCAATTTTATGAAACATAACTACTGTCTTGTAGTTACCCAAAAAGGTGGACAGTGCTAAGCTGGACAAGCTTCCTTCCGATCTGAACAGACTGAAACGTGATGTGGCTGCGTCGTCCGCTGTAGCATTTGCTGTCGTATTCTGGGTAATGGGTAAACGCACAGCCACACAATTGGGTGCTTTGTTTGTCTATCTGCTGCCATTGTATGAAAGCCTTTCTCCATAGAAGCCAGGCACTGCATTGATGATGGCCACTATGGAGATATGGCTCTTTAAAGGAGAACTATGGGGTTAAGGCTTTTCACCATAGTTCTCCTTAGGGTAACGGGAGGACACAAACTAGCATCCTCCCGTCACCCTAGGATCAGCTATAGCTCGCGGTATACTGAGACGCCGCAGCTGAAGCAGATCCCGACAAATGTGCCGGGATCCGCCCAGCTGCGTGACTGACAGCTAGCTCTGCATATCTAGAGGATTGCCTATCTAGTGGATTTGCAATGCTGTATTAAATGCATACTGTAGTTCACCCGCATCTCCAGTACGCAAGCTGCAGAAATGTTTTCCTTACACCATGTAAGATGGGAGAACTTAACGGAGAACTATGGGGTCAGTGTTTTTCCCACTGGCGGAACTACCAGGGTCGCAGCGGTCGCAATTGCGACCGGGCCCTGGCGTTCGGCCACTTGGGGGGGGGCCCAGCGCGGAAGGAGAGTCCCCTCCCCCTGTCACGGCAGAGAGCCGTGACAGGATCGAGAGGTGAGGGAACCCGGTATGTGTTCGCTCACTTCCCGATCTACTGAGCCGACCTGTGACAGTCTCATTGTCACAGGTCGGCTAGAACTATGAGGTGAGTGGAAATCACTCATCTCATAGTTCTCCTTTAATTTATCTCTGTAGTGTATAGATCAGCGGATGAGTCAGTCGCTACCTACTCCCCTTACAGGAATAACGGCACAGCTCCCTCTGCGGGTGGGAGAGGCGGCGCTGACGCTCAAGGTCGTTGCCGTTTGGGGTAATTTTCTAGTGACTGGAACTGCGGCTCAGATTGTGTTACCGCACTGGCTTCCCGAGACGCCAAATGGAATACAAAGACGTCACCGCTGCGAGGAAAGATCTATTACACCGCAAACCCTACAGTGCGCCTTTATATAAAAATAGACTCCATTCGTCCTTCGAAAAAGAAAGCCCTATTGTGGCCTATTTAATAAACTCAGGATATCGCTCTAAGAGGGAAAGCTGCTGAAAATATTATGTACAGCCAAGTATCATTTTTATCTTCCGCTCTTATAGGTGTGCAAATCCACA